TCTTGTGACAAAAAAATATATAAAAGTCAACAATGTCTGGTACAAGATTTTGTAAGATCTTACAAGATCATATGAATTCTTGTCATAAGGACTTACAAGACCTTGTCACTTCTCATAACCAGATCTTGGGGGATCTTATAACAAGAAGTTACAAGATTCCATAAGATCTTATATTGTCTTATAATAAGGTCTTGTATAATGATATCGTAAGACCTTATTACAAGATTTCATAAGAAAACATCAGATCTTGCAAGGTCTTACAAGACGCGTTTCATCTGGGTGGATGTCATATCTCTCTCCACTATTCTCAACACATTGCAATCATTAGATTTGTATGTGCAGCAATGAATGTAGTTGAAAAACACATGATCAACTTACCATTCTGTGCTTGCTTCAAACATTGATCGTTGCCACAAGTACTGAGCAATCGGTCTGATAAGTCATGCTGCATCTCTCTTCGGGATGTGAAATCAACGTTTGTATTCATTCTGCTGTCAGTTGTAACCAGAGGACTGAATTGACGTGATGTTTTTATAACATCGTTTAAGTGTTTTCATGATAATATCACTGCTTTATGTTTTTCTTTTCTGTTATCAAGAGTCAATAGAAACGAAACTTGTTGTTTGAGTGAGGAATAGAACGACATTTTGAAGGTGTACATAGGCTTTATCATATGCTCCAGCTACTTTTTCAGCATCTAAAACTGAATAAGTTTTTCTTAATTTTGATTTTTTTTCGTTCTTGACTGTGATAGTCAAAACAAATCGAAAAAGCAACAATTAACAAATGAGACAGATCGAACTAAGTGTTCGTTTATGTCAAACGAAAATTTTCCATTGCTAGTTGGTAGTAATTATTGACAAACTGAAGAATGTTAGTTAGCATAAATTTCTGAACCGAGCTTAGAAAGAAGTGGAAATAATTTGAGATCCTTAGTTTGTAGTCGAAATGTCGCTAATGAGTGAGTATTTTTATATATTTATTCATGCATCGCATATTTAATTGTATATTTTCTATATTTCATATTTTGAAACATCTGAAATGCTTCTGTCACTGATAGTAGAGTAATTGCCATTGCTATCGAATTATAACAAACGCTAATTAGAGCCAATACGTAGGACATTGGTAGATAGTCTGTGATACCACTATAGTCAACGGTGATAATAATGGTAAACCCATACCATAATGCTTCATCAGTTGTTGTTAGTTCATTTCCGACTGAGTAATGTTGCTTTATCAATTGCATATTTCTCTTATTTTAAAAATTTTATTTCAAACAAACTATTATTTAATGAGAAAAAAACCCATAGACAATTAAAATGATGAAAAGCAGAAGGTGAAATGTGTATGAACAATGCTAATCTTTTCCTTCTAATATTGAATGTCTTCCGTATGTAGATGTTAATGATCTCCATGTTTTCCCAGAATATCTAAAAAATGCAATAACCATATGTAAACACAATATAAATATATATAATGATGATGACAAATAAAAACATATCATTAACATTTGATTTGTATCTAGTGTAGATGATGTTTGCTGTTGATGCCAATAACTGAGAGTAAGAGTTAACAAAAGAATCCAGCCTGATATAATATGACATGCTGGATTAAATATGAAACAAATAAATAAAAATAAATAGAATATTGCAAGAAGAATAAGAGATGTTAAAATGCCAACAGCAATGATATGTGCGAATGTTGTTGTATATTGGAGCAATGTATACATTAAAGTAAAACATATTAATGATATTTGCCAAAATAGCATCAATGATAAACCATTATGCACAAATATACGAACACACCATATATCACCAAATCTAAATATTCATATTTTTATTACAATTTATGCAGTTAAAATCTTTATCATGGAGAATTTGGCTCATCAAACATTTGATCAATATGTACATCACTCAGGAAAAACGTTTTTTAAACATATCCTAAAATATTTTTCTCTAAGAATCTTTTTTATTAAGAAAACTATCAAAAACATGTATTAGTATATCCTTAAAAATTGAAAATACTTACAAATTACATGTTGACAATTCTCTTTCATAATTGTGTAAATGTATAACCGATGTTACAAGACAAAATAAAACAGCCATTGTACCCAATACAGTGTAGACAAGTGCCAACTAAAATAAAATAAATCAATATGTGAAAAATCTATCTAATTGAACTTTTATTCATTTAACGGCTTCTGCTACTAGACTCCAGCAAAAGAATTTGACTCATAGCAAATCTAAACGAACAATTAAATTGTCTTACTGGTAATGAATTATTATTAATTAAAAATACGAATAGAGTATTGCACCAACAAGCGGCTGTAAACGTAAGCGATTGTATTGGATGAATAGGTCTTGGATATTTGTATAAATAATCATTATCGGTTTTACGACAAATTGTTGTTATACCATATAATAGCCAAGGCAACTAAATATAGAAGAAAAGTATTGAATTTTATACAATAAATAATTTTCTTACCTGTGCTCCATAAACAATCATCCATAATGGGCCAATCCAATTGAGTTGAGGTGCCAACGGAAGCGTTTTACGATGAAACTCAGCCAATGAATTATTGAATGCTTAGCAACATAAATCAAATTTGAAAAATAGTACAAAAAAAGGTGTATAAATGATCTTACTTACATTTTTTATCATAAATATTAAAACCAATAAATGTGAATGATATCAAATAGGATAAGAAAGCAAATAAAATTGCAACTGTTTTTGTTAAATCATGTTTATAAGCATTTCTAAAACATATATAACACATTTAAATTATACAGTTGAATAGAGGATGAATTGCGCAATAACTCTTAGCCTTTCAATGGTAAAAAACTCTATTGTATTCATTATAAGCTCAACAATTTGAATAATTTAGAAACAACAATTACGTACAAACGACTTATTCCTCATCTATTTTTGAGCTCGTAACGAATTCTCTTAAAATCCGAAAGTGCTAACGGGTAGAGAACAAAATCGGCAGTGCATAAGAATTGCAAAGACCTTACAGGGTCATACGATCCGAATTTATTTGATCTTATCGCAGTCATTGGTGTATCATGTTTAAATTTCTTTTCATAAGCTCTTACAATATTGTACAAGAACATATGGAATCTTATGCCATGTTCTTACAAGATGTTGCAACAAAAGATGGTTCATCGCTACAATATAAATTTTTCACGTGTCTGTAGTATATAAATATATATACGGTCGTTTTTATGATCAAACGTCACGATTTTCGTTTTCTTCAACTTCACACATTAGCTGAGCACAAAGTAAAATGCATGGACTTAGAAACGTGACTCCACACGGTAAGAACACGTCTGGATGCTACCGATGCTAGCAAATATCAACAAAAGAAGAAACAGAGGGATATAGGGTCGAATGATGGCATATCAGCTTGAATGTTCAGATTATGAGATGCTATTGTATTCTTGTATGGTCTTGTGAATTTCCTGCCAACTGATACAAGTTCTACTCAAACGATTCTGGTAGATTTCGTGAAATCTTACTGTGAGAAAAATCTTGCGGAATCTATACAAGAATCTTACAAGATCCTGTAAGGATTTTACAAAATTTTTCTCACAGTAAGATCTTAGAAAATCTTATGAAAGATCTTTTAGGAGTTTATATGATTTTGCAAGATCGTATCCCAAGATTCAACGACTTGGGAGAGAAAAATATTTAACACTCTCATTCCCCTGCTTTGACACAGAGCTTCCCGTTGAATGTTAATTCTAACAAGACCGGGGAGTATACCCACAGATGAAAAACGTGTTGGATATACTCTACACGTACTTTGAAATGTATTACTTAGGAAAACGCTGCTGAATGATTGGCAATAGCATGAAGATAAATGTATCGTATTGACTCGCAGAACGACCTTTATTTTTCCTATTTAGTACTTACAGTATGCTTCTAATCAACAACGGGATACTTCTCGAACTTACTTTTCTCGTTGTGTCAGCGGACTATCATAGTTGTTGATTTTATTAAAAAAGTTCGGCGTCATGTTGAAATATTTTGAACACAATACGACAGTTAAACCGGTTTTTTTTAAAATGCTGCATACAATTTATAATGTAAACCGTCATCTATCAATATATACAATGTCCATGCGTCTGTTAGACTAGCGAAGAAATATTAAAAACAAAAGGATGATGGATAATACGAGAAAAAAAGATGAAAACGATGTTAATATGTGATTCATCTTGAAGAGAAAAGAATTTGACTAGTAAAGCAAAACAAATAACAAGACGTGTACATATACGTCAGTTCACAAATGAATGGAAGGCTTTCTTTATCACTATTCTGTAAAATATAGATAGTTATATAGCTAAGCCTAGTCTCCGCCTCAAATTTCAAATTTTCAGAAAAAATTGAATGAGTATGTAAAGGAATAGCTAGCTCACAGTATCTTTTGTAAGAATCCGTATTGCTTGTTATGATCCTTATAAAGCGATAGACATTATAAGATCTTACTTTAGTAAATTTTGAGTAAATGATGTAATTCTGATGATGTCAGTTTGTAGCTTCTAACTAGAGTTAGAGGTCGAACACCTTTTAGATCGAAAGATAGAATCAAAAAGGTTTTGAAAGCATTCTCTTTCGATGAAAACGTACAGTGATGGTAAAAAGGCAAAAAAGTGAGAGGATGTGGGTGAAACCAACAACGATACCACCAACGACAAAATGATTGCGAATCGTTTTTGCGCTCTCTTAGCTTCTTGTGTTTGTTTGATTGTTGCATGATAGGATAGTAGAATAGTCCGGTCTGTAATGTTTTTACTTGATATATTTACTTTTATTTATTTTATGCTATTTTCATCGATTTTTTGGTTTGAGGATTGAATGCCAAATGTATCCATTAAGTGAAGATAATCGCTGGTATATTATCAACAAGTGAAAAGAGGTCCCATCAATGTCTCACGGGTAGCACGTGTCCTCAACGGTCATGTGAGTACAGTGTGTCGCATTATATGCATACATTATAGCATACATTGATGGGACCTCTTTCCACTTGTTGATAATAT